AAATACTTAACAATTTCAAACCGCCTTATTTAATAATTTATGAAATTTGAGTAGAAAAAACAAACAAATCATAAATAACAAAGATATTCTTTCCTCTCTGATACATAGCGGTACCCTATTTCTTAGCTCAGCAGTCTGCACTACCTTCGGACCCATCTTTGCTTCATCCACATCCCTTCATATCTTCCTTTCTTTACTAGAACTCTTGTGCCTTTGGCTTCTGCAATGGCTACTCTTGCTGATATTGGCGTCTCTGCATTCATCAACATCCTCAGTGCATTTGCGTTTTTGCTGGCCTTTGCTCTGCTCAGGATACAGCCCATAAACGACAGGGTTTACTTTCCCAAATGGTATATTGATGGAGGAAGGAACAGCCCCAGGAGGTCCGGTAATTTTGTGACCAAATTTGTGAACCTCAATGTCAAGACTTACCTCACCTTCTTGAATTGGATGCCTCAAGCTATGAGGATGAGTGAGTCCGAGATTATCAACCATGCTGGTCTTGACTCCGCCGTTTTCCTCAGAATTTACACTCTCGGGTACTTGTTTCTTTTCATCCCACTTCAGTTTTCTGGGAAAAATTGAGTTGTCTTAGTTTGCTATGGTGCCGAACAACTTTAATTTGCTTTATCTCAGTTTATACATGTTGTGGGTCAGAACTCAGATGTGACATTTGTACTTTTGTGCAATTCAATTTGCTGGGAACTGAATATTCTTATTATTAACTGTCTTTTCACTCCTTTTTTATGAGAAAATTTGGGAATTTGCGTGATAAACTTAGAACTTTATTCAGTATGGATATTTGTGTGGGTCATATTATTTTTGGACCTTCTATTGGTAAAGAAAGTTGGATTTTTTAATTTCCCTTGCCCCTAAGAATTTCGTTTCTAGTCCAGCATTTGGTGGGGTATTGATCCCTTCTTGCAGGATGTGTTTAGAACTATCAATATCTGAATTCTAATTTTAGGTTCTATTTCTCATTTCTCTGAAAAAATTTCTCATTATTCAAAAAAGAAACAAAAAAAAAAGAATTTCGTTTTTAAATTTTTAATATATTTTTCAAGAACAACCTATTATCATTTGAAGTAACTTGTATTTTGCTTCTTGTGTTTATGAATTGGTCAAACTGAGCTGCTCCGTTGATAAAATCTCCTCCAATGCGGGCAGATTCATTCCCAATTCTGTTCTTTTAAGAAATTTTAATTGACCTTGTGGGAATCTTCACAGTTCTGCATTTAGTTTATGTGGATGCCTCATTGCTTTCTTGATTCTGATTATCTACCGGCCCTTTTTCCTCTGCCTTCAGATTTCTTAATTTCTTGTTATTTTATGGTTTTTAATATGTCTATTAAGCAATTTGTTTCCCTTGCTTACAGCTTAAAGATTTTTGTTCCCATGACAATCGTGGCACTCCTTATCCTTATTCCCGTTAATGTTTCGAGTGGAACATTGTTTTTTCTGAGGAAAGAATTGGTTGTGAGTGACATTGATAAGCTGTCAATATCCAATGTTCAACCTAAATCTATAAGGTAAAGTTCAGTGCTTTTCTCTGTTAACTCCTTGAAACAGTGAAAAAAAAATTGAGGTTTTACAAATCTTATTTGGAACTCTTCACTGAGTTTCATGGAAAGGTTATGGTTGACTTGCAGGTTTTTTGTTCACATAGCACTGGAATACCTGTTCACCTTTTGGACTTGTTACTTGCTTTTCAAGGAATATAATGATGTAGCATCCATGAGGTTGAATTTCTTGGCTTCCCAGCGTAGGCGAGCTGAGCAGTTCACCGTAAGTTGAAACAATTTACTATATATTTTGAGGAACGCTTAAAGCATATAATATGGTGAGAATAAAACTGTACCAAAAGAACAAGAGAAGAAACTGTTATGCATTTATTTGTCACCGTAAAATTTGAGGCCAAGATGCTTTAGTGCTGTTACTTTGGACCAATTCTGTTAATGTTAGTAAATGTTGTGAAATTCTGCAGGTGGTTGTCAGAAATGTGCCTCATGTTACTGGTCGCTCAATATCCGATACTGTGGACCAATTCTTCAAGACAAATCATCCTGATCATTATCTTTTTCACCAGGTAATACATTGCGTTGGGATACTTTGTTTGGGAATTTACCATGTTTACAGTTCTATTCTACTTGGCTTGAACGATGCCATACCATGATATGTTATGCAGGGAGTCTACAATGCAAACAAATATGCTAAATTGGTGACGAGAAGGGATAGACTACAAAATTGGCTAGACTATAACCAACTGAAGTTTGAAAGACAACCTGATAAGAGACCGACCACAAAGGTATATGACTAATGCTCATGACTTGCATGCTAGATGAACAACCTGGTGATTTTATATTTACATAGTTCATAGTTCAATGTGCGTTTCAATAATATTTCAGAAATTCATGTGCATTTGTTGGACCTATAAATTTGAGAGTTCTAACACTTTTCACTTTCAGACTGGATTTCTTGGGCTTTGGGGTTCCAAGGTTGATGCCATTGACTACTACAAACAACAGATAGAAGATTTAAATAAAAGAGTAAGCAATTTCCATTTGAAATTAGTTTTATTCGCCTGTTGGATCAATCATTCTGCAATTTCTTTTCAAACTGTTTGATGGCTCTAATATGGGGCTATTTTCACCCTTCACTTGTTTCAGTTGGCTCTGGAACAGCAGAAGATAATCAAAGAGCCAAAATCTATTTTGCCAGTTGCTTTTGTCTCGTTTAAATCACGCTGGGGAGCTGCTGTTTGTGCACAGACACAACAAAGCAAGAACCCAACTCTGTGGTTGACAAATTGGGCTCAAGAACCTCGTGATGTATACTGGCGGAATTTGGCTATACCATTTGTTTCGTTGACCGTAAGGAAACTTATAATATCATTATCAGTATTTGCCTTGATATTCTTCTATATGATACCTATTGCTTTTGTGCAATCCCTTGCAAATTTAGAGGGTCTTGAAAAAGTTGCTCCATTCCTTAGGCCCGTGATAGAACTGTAAGTCATGTTATAATTTTCTTAGCTCGCTGATTCAATTGAACATTTTTTTTCCTTGCGTTTTCTCATCTTAAAGGGTAGACACGAGCTTTGTATTTTGACAATATTTTTGCAGGAAATTTATTAAATCATTCTTACAAGGTTTCCTGCCAGGCCTTGCTCTTAAAATCTTTTTGTATATACTTCCAACAATTTTGATGATCATGTCAAAGATTGAGGGACACATTGCATTGTCAATTCTAGAACGGCGAGCAGCTGCTAAGTACTATTATTTTATGTTGGTGAATGTGTTCTTGGGAAGCATAGTGACTGGGACAGCTTTTGAGCAGTTGTATTCTTTCCTTCATCAATCACCCACACAGTACTACTCCATATCCCAGTCTCTGCTGCATTTTCTTTTCAAATATATCCGACTTACGTTGTCTATATTCTTGCTTCCTTCTTCTTTTGTATTGCAGGTTTCCTAGAACAATAGGGGTGTCTATTCCAATGAAAGCCACCTTTTTTATTACATATATAATGGTTGACGGGTGGGCTGGCATTGCTGGTGAAATTCTCCGATTGAAGCCATTGGTTATCTATCATCTCAAGAATATGTTTTTGGTCAAGACAGAGAGAGACAGAGAAAAGGCAATGGATCCTGGCAGTGTGGATTTCCCAGAAACTATCCCAAGTCTTCAACTTTACTTCCTTCTGGGGATTGTCTACGCTGTGGTTACTCCAATTCTTCTTCCTTTTATATTAGTCTTCTTTGCCTTGGCATACTTGGTTTACCGCCACCAGGTTAGTATGTTTGATTTCTATTTTTGTATAAATGTAGTAAAAGCCTTGTTTATCAGTAAAATAACTGTTATTGGCACTTGTTAGAATAAAGTGGACATATCCT